AACATTACAGACTTATCTGAGATGCTACTCGCTGTAACATCTCAAAAAAAAGATTTTTATTTTTATATAAGCTCTTAAAAATTGACATATCAAACTTTATGAGAGCTGGGGTATTGATGACACGGTACGCACAAAAAGTATTGATGGTCTTTATAGCAACCTCAACTTTCACCTTATCAAATTTTACTAAATACTAGAATATGTTTTGGTAATATTGAACTAGTTGATTAGGCTGTAATTTCTAAAATTGTTAGAAACGGCAGAGTTTACTAAATTAAAAATATATATTTATAATATATTTTATTAATAAAAAAACATATGACAAAACTACACCTTTACTCTTTAGCAAACTCAGCCAGGGCCGGTCCTGAGAATTCGGAGGCCCTGTGCAATGAAAAAAATTGGGCCTTTTTTCCATGTTCCAAACACAAGTGATTTGATTAAAATAAAAGTTACTAATGAACATAAAAATAAAAATGAAAGTAGTCATTAATAGAACACAGTTGAATAATTTTAAAACATAATTATTCTCAATTCAATTACTTAATAACTAATAAACCATTCAAATAAATAACTAAATAAGCAAACAAAAATAACACAAATAGGCAACAAATTGAACATAGAATAAAGAGATTTCACTAATTTGCAATTCAAAGAATCAAATAAACAGGATAATCATAGACTGATTAATGATTATACTGTTCCAGTGCTTACCGGACTGGTGTGATGGTGTCTGAATGTCTGGTGCAGACGTCCAGTGGTGCTGCGTCTTGACTCCTGGAGGCGGGCGTCACTGCTTGTCTGCTTGGTGCCTTGGTGGCACTTGGCGGAGTTGGCGAGCTGGAGAAGTAGAGAGTCGAGTGGCGAGTGGCGGCGATTCCGGCGAACCCCTTCGAAGCTTCGACCTTCACAGTTCTACTTCGGCAGATTGGGCTTGCGGTTTAGCCAGTTCCCTAACTCCCTTCGTTCGTTCCTACTCCGTATTTCCTTTCGCCGTTTGTTCAAAGATAGATGATAGGATATTGGGCTGAATAATACTACTAATAAAAAATTTTTTGGGCCTTCCAAATTAAAGGGCCCTGTGCGGTCGGGCTGGCTGCACCTGCCTTGGGCCGGCCCTGAACTCAGCTATAAAGTTAATTACATCCTTACTAATTTAGATTACTACATAATTTAAGACTGATAAGGCCAAAAACCATATTATGATATTACTAATTAGGTTCTCAACTTTTAGTTTTACACATTAACTTGCATAACAATAAAAAAGACTAAGAATGCATTTACCTTTTTGTGGCTGTTATTGGGCCACGAGGATGTGGTGCCAACAATTTTTGGCAGCTTGTTGGTGCAATCGAAACATGGCGCTACACTTGTTCAGTGAGGGGGTGAAAGGCTGCTACACTATTAACAAATGTTTTTTGGTGTGGCGGGAAGCGCGTCGATCCTACAAGTGTTATCAAAGCATAGCTAGGTCACGAGTTCGACCACAACCATAACATGTTGTGCAATTTAATTAGGTTGAGACTGAAATGGGTTGGAGGATTGTTGGGCCGCAAGGATGCAGTGCCAACGATTCTGCTAGCCTTCCGGTGCAATCAAAACGTGGTGCTATGACATCTGTCCTATGAGGAGAAAAGGCGTGCAATACTATCATCAATTGCTTTTATTAAAGCGGTAAACACAACGATCTTACAACTTTATTTACTCAGCATGCGTTGTTTTTTATTTTCCATAATTTTTTTTCTTTATTTTAATATATATATACACACACACACAGAGTATGTTTCCCATACAAAATGCAAAATCATCTCATCCGTCCAATATAACAAAATCAAGGGCAAGATTTTTTTGAGCATTAATACCGGCCGTATTAGTGGGGGAGATTTTTATCCTACCACCACTAAATACCGACCAACACATTTAATAAGGGAGTTTCCTCATTATCTCACTAATACGGATGGTTAGGATCAATTTGCACTTTGTAAATTAGGATTAGTTTGTATGTGATCTTAAATCATATATATATAATAAAGATCAAATGAGAACATTGCTTAACGTGAGAACGTGAGAACACTACATTTACCTCGACGTGTTGCACAATGAAGTTTGTATATTTCACTTTTTCGCATTTTCACAATATTTACCAAAATGTCATCACCGTGTTTATTTAATATAGGCTTAATTCTAGCAAATTGGAAATGTGCAACATAAGAGCCCCAATGTGCATTACATTGATTTAAATGTCAGTGTTCTCATGTTAAGCATCCTTCTTATTGGAACCCCACCCTATATATATATATATATATATATATATATAGGGAAAAGATCCCATGAGAAGTCCCTTTTAAACTGAAAAATGAGAAGCATTATGGACCGTGCGATCAGCCCATAGATCTCTTCGTCATTAATGGCATTTTTGTAATTAAAATCAACTTTAAACCTTTCTTTGTTATTCTCTTCTTGCTTTCCACCATAGATTGTCTGTCCTCCAAAGAATAAGTCTTGTTGAAGGGAAAGGGTGTGGCAGTGGTTTCGTTGCAACTTGGAAATCGGCGACCATGTTTTCGTTGATCAGTTCATTGGGGTTCATCGATTGGGGCGTCATTGGGAAACGAGGACCGCACTCGCTTCTGGGAGCTATCTTTCGGATTCACCGTTGGAAATCAATTGTGGCCGGCCGGAATCTGCGAAGAGACGAGGAAGACTATTCGAATTGGCGCAACAACCTTCACTGAATTGAAGATCCAACGACCTGGAGAAACCATTTGGGAGGCTGCACTCTACAACTCAACTTCATTGGCCTGGGTCATGGGGCGGCGAAATCACAAGGTCTTCCGATCAGTCTCCTTTTTGCTGGCGTGTCTTCAGATCGGCGCAAGGATGGATGGAGGGGAGTTAGGCAACACTAGGAGGATAGGGTGGATCCTTGCTGCAAAACCTCTGTTCCCCAAAGACGGTACTGCTCTTCAACATATTCTGAGCAACATTTGGGGAAGAAATATCGGTTTTCAATTGAAAGCAAAACTTTTTCATTCAATTCATATTCTACTGCTATGAAGATCCAATGTTTGAACTTTTAATGAATTTGTCTTGAATAATTCCTTGTAAGTACATGTGTTCTAACTGTTCAGACAAATTGATTTGATTTTGCACATCAAATGTTTGATATATTATTATCTGTTTGTTATCCTATCATTTTTTATTTTTATCTGCACATAAATAAAAAGAAGTTTCACATGGTTCCTAACCTTAATTTTGGCTGCTTAGAAACCGGATTTTCATTTGTCAAAATATTGAGTTTAGTTTATGTCTACCAACTGTTTGTCAAATGTTTCATTAATAATTGGTGAAATGGACTTCATGTACGAATATAATTTAACACAATTTTCGATGAAATACTTGTTTGGCATTGATAAAACTAGCAATCTATTTTTTCTTCACCCGCATAAAGAATCAAATTATTAATCCCAAATATGTGAAAATAATATGATGAAGAAGAGTAGATAATAGAGGAAGGAATTGTATTTACTTGGTATTGTAGGTCAATCATGGTTACCAATTGAGGTTTGATTATAAAGGCACCAACTTGAAGAGTTACTCTTTCTTATATAATTCCTTTTGTTCAATTTCCTCCCATGTTTTCCTTCAAGCTTATGAGGTTCACATTTATTCTTTATTTAAAAAGTTACACTTTTCTTATAAAAAGTTACACTTGTAGTATACAAAGTTACACATTCCAGTTGTTCACTAATAACTAATTCACTATAGACATTACTATTTTACAACTGCTATGCACTTCCTCTTTATTCCTGTGTGTTTCAATCTTTTCATGATACAACTTTTCTTTAATATCCCTTTGCTGCTCTTTTTCTTATATTGCAACCACAACACTTCTATTCTTATCTTTTTTATTGAACTATGATTAGCACCATTAGAGGTCTGGAAAGTTTCTGCCAGCATAATGTGAAACTATCATCCTCTAAGGTCTACAACTTATTGATACCTAAGGGCCAGAAGAGGGATTGGATGACCATCATTTGGAGGCGGTTTATATATTCCTCCTAAGTTCTCGTTTATTGCTTGGCTAGTTTTTCGGGACAGATTGGCCACTGTGGATAAATTGGTTTACTTGGATGGGGCTAATATATGCAGCTTCTGTCAACTGGAACCGGAATCCATCTCACACCTCCTTTCTTAGTTGCCAACTGCAGGTATCTGTCTTGAAATTAGGAGATGGTTGGGGATTAAGAGGAGCATGACAAACGTCGCTAGTACAATTAAATGGATTAAAAAGGATTATGGAGGGGCACGGATCCGGAGTTATATCGTCTCCTTGACTTTCTGTTGTGCTGTCTACACAATATGGAGGATGAGAAATGCGGCATACTTTGACCATATCAGTTGCTCCCCCAGGATGTTGACATTAAAATCAAGGTTGTGGTATACCAGATCTTGTTTACCATGTATCCCAATGCTGCAATTGATTTTTAGTTTGATCTTTGTATTTAGGTTATGCCACTTGTTTTGCCGTTTGTTTTTTGTGCTTGTAGTCTGTTGGTCCATGTTTGGGAATTTTCTGTTTTGCACTACTGGTTGTACTTGATGGTGTCATGTGTAGTTTGAAGGGGATATGTCCCATTTCAAATTGCTTTGTCTTCTAGCAGGTTGTGCATTTCTCGCAAACAACCTGCTATGGTTTTTCTTTGCTCTAGGGGTATGCCCCGTTGACCTTGTATTACATTTTTTAAATGAGTTCAACAGGTACATTTTAGTCGTTGATTGAACTATGATTGGGTGAAACAGATTTGGAAAACAATCTTCTAATTTGATATTTTTTGTAGAAAAGTAAAATGGTGTGATAATAAGGCACTTTGGAAAAGAAATGATAAATAAAGTCAATATATTTCAAACTGTTCCTTTAAAAATAATATTACAATTTGAATATATATTACAAGTAGATTTTTTTAAAGTGTAACTACTAGCAAGTTCCTGTATTTTATGCCCTCTGGACTGATCTGGCCAAACAAAAACAAGCAATTAAGCAAACAACTTTTCAAGATAAATGGCTAATGCTGAATGTAGGTCAAAGATCAAAACCACATGGTTTCGAAGCATGAAAATGCCTATGGTCATACATATAATGGATTTCATAATCTGCAAAATGTTGTTGGTTTCTTAATAAAGACACCAGTTCACCACTACAATACTCCAACAACCAGCCATATTCCCAATTTCTAGGTGTCCTAGTCAAGGTTTGCTGCATCCTCCAATTCTTCGTCCTCAGGTACCCCACGAAGATATAGGACATTATTGCATCTGATCAAGATCTCTCCAAGAGTTCCAGTGGATTGTCCGTCAACATATTCTTCTGCATTTCCTAACTGCAAGTTCATGTATGAATCAGCAGAGACAAGAAAACCCTTTATACTCCATTCCCCACTTGACTTTTGCAATAATAGTCTTCCCAATCAAACTGTTCAGGAAGGGTTTGGGATTAAATGGTACAGTCATCCCGCCCTTTGGCTTCTTCTCGGCCTCCATTTTTCGGTTGCAGGAGGTGTCTTCTCCGGTGCTGGCTTCTTCTCAGCTTGTTTCTTCTAAGCTTTCGCCAATACAAAATCTTGGTCGGTGGGGATATAAGACGAACGGCGTGGTGTAGGCTGCATCCGACTAAGGGGGAGAGAAGCAGCTGGAAACGGAGAGGGCAATACAGCGTACCACCGTTTGGTTTGGCTAATATTACAAGTAGATAACATTACTACAATAGCTCCAGGAACAACATCTGAGGAACAACAAAATCATAGTTAAATTGTCTCTATTCTTTTAGCACCAATGCATGCTTCTTTGGTTTATCCGAAGTTGTTCTCATCTGCAAAAGTGAGAATAAATCTTTTATTAACACACACTAAAAGGGATAATATAACAACTAATAAAAATAAATTCATAACTTGTAGTCTAATAACTTCAAACAAGATCCAAAACGTTGAATCTAAAAAAGGGAAGAAAAGTTAGCTTCAATACCATAAACATCCACAAAAGCATGTCGATGTTTGAATGATTCTTCGACTACATTATTAGAAAAAGTAATATTTTTTTGTTTTCTTGTTTTAAAACTTTGTTCTCAGAATCCTGCCTTGAAAATGCAACTAGGATATAGATAAAGTCATAATTTGTTAGCACACACTAATACAACCAGAATGATAACTTTTAAAGATAAATTCATAACTCGTAGTATCATAAACTTCAAATCTTACAAAAGAAATTAGTTAGAGTACCAGCAATATTAACAGAAGCATGTTGATCTTTCAATGGTTCCTTGACATTATCATTGGCCACTTCAAGGTTTTCCATATCAACAATCAAGAAAAATACTTTACAACCGCACTACTAGAGCCTAATTCATGACTTCTTATAAGATATTCGTAACATTTAGTCTATTTACTTCAAAAGACATTTCATTGTAGCCTATTCTATATTCAGATGGTCTTACGTAAATAGTCATTTGTGAAAAAATGATTTCGATTTATATCTATAATGTGTAATAATATTTTAATGGTAAATGATATAATTTCACTTCGTTAAACTAAATATTTTTTGAATAGTCACTAAATAGCCATGATACTTCTTATTGTCCACACTTCTATACATTACGCTTAACTTCTAAGTCTAAATCTTTGACTTTTAGTTTGAAATTCATAACATCTAAGCAATAATCAAACTGATTTTGGGCATGTTATATATAAAAACTATTCAATACTTTTCTCTCAATTACTAATGAGACACTTATTTTCTCATAACTTCTAATTAACTAAGTTTCACTTCTGAAAATAAATGCATAACTTCTATTTCGTGTTCTAATTTGAAAGAAAAAAAGTGAATTTGTTTTCATTAAAAATGATATTCAGAATATCTTTGTTAGCTCTAAACAATCGGAATGTTTTATAAGTGAGAGTCTTTTTTACCTAAAATAATTTAACACTCTTTCAGGTTAACATAAACTAATAAAGCCAGAATCATAACATATAGAAAGAAAGTCATAACTTATAGCCTCAAAGCCCTCACTTTAAATCCAATAGAAATTACAGGCTAAGATGTATGAGTTTCAATAAAATGTGGAAGTGTGAGATTACTTAAAAATCAATGAGTAGCCCTTGTCCACATTTTAGCTCATAAGTTCTAGAGACAAATAATGAAAAAAGAAACTAGAAACAACAGCAAGAGTAAACTAATTTCTTAATCAGGAAATATCAAAACATATTATGGATATACTAATAGAACCATGAAATTAACTTCTAACCAATAAATCATAACTTATAGCTTAAATGTGATGTACATAAAGGAGCCTTAGATGTGTAATTCTTCTATATTAGTCAACAGCTGGAGGGTTTTACATGCTTGAACAACAATTTATCAATCTTAATAAGAATTGAATCATAAAAACAAATTACATAAAGCCACAAACGAAATGTGTAACAGAGTTGAAGAAATTTGGGGAAAAACATATAATTAGATCGAAATCAACAACTTAAGGTGGGTAGATTTCGCATTTAAAGGATTTCTTTAAAACACATTCGTGTGTAAAGGAATTGACTGCAACAAAGAACATGTTGAATAAACCTCGAACAAATCTTATAGAGCACAAACAGAGAATAGCTAAGGGACTAAAACGCAAAACTAACCAAGCTTACCTTTAATTGCTATACTTTAATCATTTGTAACAAATCTTAATGAAAATCTACAAATTAGGTTAAATCGGATAACTTAATATATTTTGAAGTTGGATATAGAAGAAGTACTGAACTTATTCGAATAAACATTAATTTCTTAAGCAACTCACCTTTGAGAAATAACCTAGCGCCGCAAGTCTTCGTAATCTGGCCGGTGTTCGTAATCTGTTGCACTTCGTCGGAGTTATTGTGATGTTCGTCGTTGAATGATTGAATTCGTAAAGGTGATTTGGGAAGGTGATAGCTTCTGAAACGGCGCATAACTTCTGAAACTCTGTCGTGGCTGTTGCAGAGAGACATTCGTTGTTTACCAGACCTTCGGCCTTCTCGATTTTAAATTGGGCCTTTGATCTACTTTTAATCGGACGGTTTCTGTTGCTTCTCACTTTTCAGCGGAAATAGGCTTCGCAGCTGATCCATTCCGTATATATATATATATATATATATATATATATATATATATAGGGAACTCTTCCGGTAAGGTATACCTTACCGGAGCCGCCGTGCGGCCTCCACGTTTTGAGGGTCTTCCCGGTGGAATTTTTCGATGCAATTTTTTGAGCATGTTCTTCATCAAGTCTAGTACATCCATACCAAATTTCAGCAAAAAATTCAATCGGGAAGGCAGTCAAATGATTTTTGGAAGATAACTGCAACCTTTATATACATATAAAACGCAGTTATCTTCCAAAAATCGTTTGACTGCCTTCCCGATTGCATTTTTTGCTGAAATTTGGTATCGATGTAATAGATTTGATGAAGAACATGCTCAAAAAATTTCATTGAAAAATTCCACCGGGAAGGCCCTCAAAACGTGGAGGCCGCACGGCGGCTCCGGTAAGGTATACCTTACCGGAAGTTTTTCCTATATATATATATATAGATAGATAGATAGATAGATAGGGAATAGATCTGGTGAGAAGCCTGCTAGGGATGAAAAGTGAGAAGTAATACAGAGCGTCCGATCTTCGCAAATCTGGCGGCCAATTTTTTAATGACCTTTCGCTAGTTTATTAATAACAAAACTTCATCGCTCTTCTATGACTATCTCTAGCTCAAAGTCTCTGTTTATTCGTTTGAGAAGGCAGAATCATCCGCGAAGAAACCCTTCCGCTGAGAAGGCAGAATCATCCGCGAAGAAGCCCTCTTCCACTGAAAAAGCACCGATTTTTCATCATATTTAACTCTAGGTTCGTTTCCGCCTCACTCTCTCTCTCTCTCTTCTTGTATCTCATCTTCTTCATTGATCCAATATTTCTAACTAAAACGAGAATTTGTGCGATTCTACTCTACTCTAGGTGTGATTCTATGACGAGTCGATAATATGTGATTCTTTTCGACCTCCTTTCTCAATTCATTGAATAGTTGAATCATATGTAATGAATTTTTGCTAAATCCTTGATAAATAATTTTTCCTTAAAATCACCCCCTTACGATTTTAGGCTTACAACTTATGGTTTATATGAGATTAGTAAAGATCATTATTGTAATGAAAGCTTGTCTGAACTTGCCAGCTATTTGTTGAAATAGATATTGAGTTCAAGTTATGTCTTTCAGTTATTTTCTGATTGTGAACTTAAGTTATGCCTACCAACTATTCGATAAAATGTTAAAATGATTATGGTTCTATTAGTACATGCATAATTTGTTTTCATTCTTTCTGAATGAGAAATTAGTTTACTCTTTTTGTTGTTTTTAGTTTCTGATTTCCATTATTATTCTTGAGATCTTTATGATCTAAAATGTGGGCAGAGGCTACTCATTGTTTTCCTACTAATCTCACACTTCTCTATTTTATCCAAAATCATACATTCTGTAGCTTCTAAATTTTATTAGATTTAAAGTGAGACTGTAAGTTATGACTTTCTATCCTTATGCTACATTATGGCTTTATTAGCTTATGTTAACTTGAAAGATTGTTTGATTATTTTAGAGGTCTTGGGAGTTTAAGTAAAAGTTAAGCCTTTGGGTTTAAAAGTTACTTTTTGCCGTTTACAAGTTATATTAATTTTTCATAAAAGTAATGGTTTCTTCAACATTTCTAAATATAATTGAAAACTAGAGAAAGTGTGAGTTGATGTATTTGCTGTTTCAGACTTCTCTATATTGATAATTATCGGTAAGGATTAACAGTTATAGGTGGGAGTGTGTCTACTTATGTTAAAAGTTGCGAATATTTTTTTACAAGTTATGAATATTTTATTAAAAGTTATGTTTTTTATTCCATATTTTATTTTAAACCATGTTGTTTTGATTGTTCTCATTTCTTTTTTCATTTCAGATTTCACTCTAAAATAAATTCAACGTTTTAAAATACATAGAGATATGGTAGATAGTGAGTACTATGTATAATTGATTAATGGTGTGATCTAATGAGCAATTTTTAGCATAAATTATATATCTTTAATGACTTATAACATAACTTATAATAAAAGAAAAGCCACAAATGATCAAGCACTTGCTTGTAGGAACATTACAACTCCTAACCTTAAAAATATAACTTGTAATAGAAATGCAACATCTTCATGATAAAAGTTGCATATTTTAGCATAAGTTATATAACACTACTGACTTTGATGTTATCAACTAATGTTAATTAAAAGTTATGAGTTTAGTTTTAGAAGTCATTATTTTGGATCTATTAGTTATAAACGTATATCCCCTTTATCTTTATTGCAGATGATCGAAGAGAATATTGAGGCACTAAACGAAAATCACATTGGTGTTGCGATGAAGTTATCCCAGATGTTGGTCAGTGGTGATGTACACAAATTAGCTCTCAACACTAAATAGAAGAAATTGACAAGGACAACACCGCCGAAGCTAAGAAGAAGAAGAAAAGTGAAACATATAAGATATGATAGAAGCCACTCTATTAAGAAGCAGAAATTTTGTTAACTGATTGTATGTTTTTTTGTTGCAAATGGAGTTGAATGTAATTCCCTTAAGTTTTTTTTTTTAAACAAAAGGTCCGGTTGGTGTTAGTAGGAAGTAATATGCAACAATCAAGTTTGGATGTTTCTCAATTTTTCTATTGTTCTTCGCATAATAGAGATATAAAGGGTGAAGTAAGGAAACGAGTAATAGGACCAAAGACTCCGTAAAGTTGCAATATCATGCACCTAAAGACTTTTGTCTATTTTTTGTCTTTATTCGCGTATAATTCGCGTATAATACATTCAAACGTATAATTCACGTATAATACTCCCGTTTATGAATTTTTCAAAAAATTCTGAAAAATTCACGTACTTTAACGATAAAATGTATAATACACGTACCGTACGTATTGATACGTATTTTATTCACGAATAATACTCTCATTTATGAACTTTTCAGAAAATTTTGAAAAGTTCACGTACATTAAGGATTAAATGTATAACACACATACTATATGTATTGATACATATTTTATTTAAAAACACACACCATTAAACGGAAGCGCAATGGAGTGATACAACTGAAATGAAATGTCTAGCTGCTCAATATTATTTATATTGCTTAAAAAAACTTTATGCCTTATATGTTCGTTAATTGTTTAATAGTCATTACATTTAATAAATTAGCTTCTTAAATTCGTAATCTGTTTCGATATTACTATTGTACTACTATCGTATTACTTTTGTTTTCCACCCATACCAAGACTCCGAAGAGATCGAGAAATGTTGTGGCGGCTCATCAAACGGTCACAATAATAACAACTATTCTCTAGTAATATCTCTCTACTTCTACTTAAATAGGCAATGTCATTTTTATTACTTATTGTACCTATGCATTCAAATCCATATATCTGAAAAAACTATTCCGTACATTTTAAATTGTTGAAGAATGTGGTGGAAATGTTAAATAACTCTTTATTTATATCATTAAATTAGTATATAAGACACATACTATATGCCGTATTTTTTAATTGTGAAACGTTTAAAACACGTCTGTATCTTTATATATTTCACGAACGTATGAAACATGTATTAAGCCGTATTTTATATTATTGTATCGTATTATACACGAACGTACGTATTATTGTATTATTCAAGAACCGTATATTACTAACAAAGGATGCAATTCATAAATTAGATTTGAATATTTCAGCTCCATGATTTGAAAACAACAACTCCCTGATTTGTTAATAAAATAAAATTCCATATGTAACAATTTCACCTGCAAAGAAGAGAAATGCAAGTGTAGAAAACTCATCTTTCATTCCAATCCTGAAGGCTTCAATAAATAGCAACATATAAACGAATTAATATAACTTGTAACAAGTAATATAAAACCTTTAATAAAAAGTTCAAACCACATATAATCAACGTCAATAGCAAATTGCCTTAACTCCTACATTGCCTTGTTTTTCAAGATTTTCCATTAACAAGAATCAGTAACCTTCACCTTATGCTGTTTGCGTTTGATACAAAAAAAAACAGAGCATGATTTGCAGTGGAGCTGGCTAGTGTTTACTACAAGAGTATGCTCTTTGAAGTCATTAACATCAATACAAATGACAGAATTCATAAAAGAGGGGTCATTCAATACATTACACAAGAGCAATAACTCTTGAGCCCTGCTATTCAATTTTCATATAAATAAAACATGAGAGGGATAGATACTAGAAAACTCGGACTAATCTCTCTAATATCTTCAGCTAACAATTCTATCGAGGAGAAACTGAATATGTTTGTAATATCTGAAATCGCTTATAGAGCGTCCAATTCAATGTCTACCGAATCAAACTTCTGCCCTAGTAGCCAATTGATAGATCCTCTAATGCTAGAAAGCTCACCCTGTAAATTAAAGTGTATAAATATCCCATCCTTGGCAGCGCTGCACCCGCGATGAATTCCCCGTGCTCATCTCAAAGAATACATCCAAAACCACACTTGTGACGCATAACAAAAGCATCCACGATCATCTTTACTCTTCTCAGGTTCGTCCACCTCTAACAAGAAGTAGTCAGCTGCTATGAAGCTCTTTGTTTACCTGCACCTTGTTTTAATTGAACCCAACTATTCACAAAGGCAGCAACCTTCTGCTCAAACAGCACTGCACGCATGCCAATCCATTTCCAAACTCTTCTATTCCTTTCGCATCACAGCCCCCAACACCCCAAGGGCCCCATGCTAAGTTGTTGAACTCTGTCCCTTTCTTCATGGTCATAAGATGATATTATCACCTATATGATACAATAATCCATTAGTGCACAATGAGCTTGATAAGTCCGTATTTTGACACGTATTTGATGCGTGTTGGGATCGGTTTTGATGGTTTTCCCTAGCTTTAAGGTGTTGCAAGTCTCAATTTTAGCTCAAGTTATGTTTATCGGGCATTGGTTCGAGTTTTGTGTTGTTTGTAGTCAAAATCAGGAAATTT